CGAGCAAACCGAAGTTGTGAACAATCTCAATCTCTTTGTCATCCATCCTGATGCTACCAATTGGTCCAGTGGTGAGAATCTTTGTCTTCTTGACATTGAGCCTCAGTCCATACTGAAGGCTGCAGTCCTTGATGCTCCGCAGCAAGTGAGGTCCTCCTCAGTTTCGGCAAGCAGGGTTGTGTCATCTGCATAACGCAGATTGTTAATAGATCTTCCACCAATCCTGACGCCACACTTCTCAACATTAAGAACATAAATATTCTCACCATTGGGCTAATAGGCAGTTAGGGTTCTCTCCTAAATCTAATTTGGATTTTTAAACTGTTCCTTGTTGATATACTTCAACTATCCCTGAACTATCTTTAGCAAGATTTTATTTGCATATGATATTGCTTGATAATTTCCACATTATTTTGGATCATGTTTCTTTAGAATTGGCACAAATACAGATCTCATTCTTCAGCTCCAGGCTCCTCATCTATGGGTTGAGTCTAATAATAATAATATAAAAAATAATAGCCTTTGTTATGGACTGAATGTGTTCCCTAAAATGATACACTGAAGTCCTCACTTCACTACCTGTGAAGGTGACCTTGTTAGGAAATAAAGTCTTCTTTTAAAGATGTTTTCAGTTAAGTCAATGAGATCATATCAGAGGATAGTATGTCCTGATTCTTTGTAAGTGATGTCTTATAAAATAAACCCAAAGAGACTGAAGAACATACTAGAAAGGAAGCAACACAAGCCAAGGAATATCAAGGATTTCCAAGGGAGAGAAGTATGAAGCAGATTCTGGCTCAGAACACTTAAAAGGAAGTGACACCACTGATACCCTAACTTGGTCTCCTAGCCTCCAGATCTGCGAGCCAATGAATATTTGATTGGTAGTTCATATCAGCTACCTATGTGTATTTTTCTATGGCAGCTCTCAAAAACACTTCCTTAGGGAGACTGGTGGTCAGTCACTATAGTATCCGACACCGAAGATGTGCTTAATAATATTGGAGAAGAGTTTGTGGTGAAGAGAGCTCAGTGAGTCTGTGGGAGAAGCAGCCAACACAGGCAGGAAGGTGGATCTAGCCATGGTGCTGGGAGAAAGAGTCAATTAGGGCTTTTGTGGTAGACAGACTGAATCACTATCAAGCAGATAAACAAACCTACACAGGGATTCAGAACTTTCTGAAAGAAAGGAGCTTTTCTCCACCCCCTCCAAATCAGAGTCCAATGTCATTAGTACCAGGGGGATAGACTGGTGGTCTGAGGTGAGAACTCACCAGGAGAGGAAAGATTGGTGTCCTACTGCCCACCATGGACCAGGTTTTAAGGGAGCTGCTTCTGAAGGAGACAAAAGTCTCCAAATCCTAACAGTGTGGTACAAAATCAGGGTTTAGCCATCTGAGTGTGCTTGAAATGACAAAGAGCTATGAGTCACCCTGACCCAGGGTGGAACTCAAGGCAAGGCAAGGGCCCACATGCCCTTCGGATGGTGTTCACCCCTGGATTCCTTAAGTACCTGTGAGTGGACATGGTGTATCAACTAAAGGACAAGAGGTGCCAAATAGATCTCCAGAGAAAAACACTGAGTTACCTGTTACCAGAGAAAGCATTTAATGGGACTGTATTTGATCTGCATGCTGATAAGAGGTGGTTATGGGGTGGGTTTTTTTTTTTTAGACTTTTTAAAAATTTTATTTTATTATTTTGTGTGTGTGTACCATCAAATCAGATCTGACCGGTACAGGAGGAGATTGTCCCTCCTTCTCCAGCAGATTATCTGGTGGATTCGAACTGTGTTCCTCTAGGATTGCAGTGCAGCTTCTTGCCACTAGGGCACCAGAACTCCCTTAGGTGGTTGTGGGTTTTATTAACATTTATTGTTGCCATTATTGATATTACTACTTCTAGTATGGTCATAGCAACACAGTCCTGTTTGCTTTTTTTACTTTGTAAGATGAAAGAACACATCTTCTAAAGGTCCACAAAACAAAAATCCTTTAGCTGTTGTAGTTCTTTGACTTCTGAATAATGTTGGGGGGAGGAGGGAGGAGGTGACAGGAAGGGAAACTACCTCACGTGCTGGTGGAGGTCTCTCCTCCACGCGTGTCCACAGTTTTCCAGTTTCATACTTCTGTCTGGGAGAGCCTGCCAATATCTCATTGTGCCAGGATAAATGAAAGCAGAGTGATGGCCTATGATGGCCTAAGCAGGTGGCACACACCCCCGACCAGGACTTCTGAGCACCACATAGGACATCACATGGGGGCACTGGGTGGAATCACATCCCATGGGGCCCTATTGGCCCCCTGGGCCCTGAATCCTGGCTCCAGACCACTGACCTCCATCCTCTGTGGCCCCCCATCCTGACGTCCAGCACACTTTCCCGTCGGGAAAATTCTCCTCGGAGTTGGGCAGGCACACGGGCTGGATCATCTCTGTTTAAAGAAGGAACAACTCATTTGAAATAGCAGTTAGAGAAAGCAATCTTAACTATATTTATGACTCTGAGAAGCACGAAATGACCTCCCAAGGTCCAGTCACGCCCTGGGTTACTTGAAAGCTGTTAGTCAGAACAGAAATTCCCCTAGAACCTTAAAAACTGCCAAGTGGGCCAAGTTGTTTTTGTTGCAGCTGTTGCTGCTGTTGTTAATTGCCGTTGAGACGCTGCTGACTGGCAGGTACCTTCTGAATGCCAGAATGAAACTTTGCCTGCCCTGCATCTGCCTCATACCTACTGGTCTACTTGAGTCCATTGTTAGGGATATTGTGTCAGTCTGTCTCATCGAACTGTGTCCTCATTTCTGTTGACCATTTGCTTAGCAATCATAATATCTCCTCTAGCAACACCAACCTGGCTCTGGCAATTGAGTGAATCTAGATCAAGGGTAGGGAGCTCTGGTGGCCTGGTGGCAAGAGAAGCTGTGCTGCAATCTCAAAGGCAGACGGTTTGTGACTACCAGCGACTCCACAGGAGAAAGATGGGCAGTCTCCTCCTGGGCGATTAACTGCCTCTGAAAACCCACTGGAAGATCAGCTGTGGATCAGTTCTGACTCTACGGCACACAACAACAATAACAACAGATCAAGTGTTGCAAACTTTTTGTAAGAAGGCTAACTGGTGAATATGTTAGGTTTTGCAGGCCATGCCATCTCTGCTGTGAACACTTGACCTTGCAGTTACAGTGTGAATGAGACATAGAACATAGGTAAACAAATGGACTCTTGTTCCAGTAAAACAAACTTTTAATTGCAAATGCGAGTAATGGGCCAGAATATCCACCCGGGTCTAGACAACAGGCCTGCTATTTATTATTATTATTAACCTTAATGAAAATTTACAGAGACTTTGGATTTCCTTTCATTCATTGTTGCACTTTT